GGAGACAGAACTGGAAGTGTCAGAGTTGAAGATGATGAGGTTCTCCTTGGCAGAGACAAGGATGGAGAAGATTAGGAATGAGATCATCAGAGGTACAGCACAGGTTGAAGGACCAGGAGACAAAGTTAGAGACCAGACTGAGAGGGTTTGGACACATCCAGGTAGTTTTGCGCCAACATTCAAACAGTGACTAGGACCTAGCATTAGTACATTAGTACACTCCCCTACCGTGGTATTAGAATTTTTTTTCTCTCTGCTCACTCTTAACTCCCCACTTTATAAAAACTACTGCTGGCATTTTAGTATCTTTTTTTACACATGGATCTTTGTGGCCAACAGGAATCATCTGCAAAYATTTCACCCAATCCCAGCCTTCCACAGTGTGCTCAGACCACTTAGAAGACAATGACTGACTGCATAATATGTTTTATTTAAAAAAAAGGTTGGAGTACCATAAATGAACAAGTGTACTGAACACTGTACAGTCCCCTTCTCTGTCAGTGTGTCCTGGTAGCGCCTGTCTGCCTCGTTCATCTTCTTTTAAATGTTATTTTTGTAGCTAGCTTTTGTGGTTCCTTCATACTGGTTACCATACCATACTGTTTGTGGGGTTTAGCCTACAAACTTGGGGCAGGCAGTAAAAACGTATGCAGATAATAATATCAATTAGAACCATCTATACTTGATGTGTAGTGATCTGCTGTGGGATCAGAAAACCCAGTCATGTCTTTATTTTTTGACACAAGTCTATATTTATGCTGAAGATTATTTCTGTTTCCCTGCAGGTTTTCCTGCTCCTCAGTCTGTTTTCTGTGAATACGTTTGTGTTCATGTCTCATTGTTCTTTGAGSACTGCTGACAATAAACACCTCAGCACGCCTCCTTCATCTATGACCTGAACTGTGGACCTAACWGTGGTCTGTAACAGCAGGACAGGAAGATTACAGGAGAATAATGGTTTCATAACCTTGTACAGGTAGTCAAAGGTAAGCTGAAAGGAGGGAAAGGAACACCTGACACCTGTAAAATCATAATTATCTTCGTCAGCACAGAACATAGACTGATAAAAACCAACTCAAGATAATTGTCTTTTTTTTTTTTACAAGAAGACAGTTTTAGATGTTGCTCATGAGGGTTGTGTTGTTACAAAAAAAGACAACTCCGTTCATCATTACCTAACTTCATGGAAAGTATTTACTCTATAAAATCAACTTGTAATCCTCTGTTCCAGCTGAGAAGGCAAGAATAAGTTGACACTAAAACGYCGTCACATGACAACCAGAGCTTATACAAGTATTTTAAAAGTTCACAGAGTGCTCTGTAAGCTAACCTTCACTCTAGTCATCCCTGAAACAATTGGAGGAAACAGGGGCTGCGAGATGGGGCAACACTTCGGACAGGATGTCAGATAGGCAGCAAGGAGGATGACCGACCAAAACTCAACACTTTCTACAAGCAAGACACTGCAACAATCAGAATCAGAAAAACTTTAAGGCCATTATCAGTAAACGAGTTACAGACTAGGAATTTGCTCTGGTGTAGTGAAGTGAAGTGATTTATATAAAATAATTATTCTGCTAATTCGTCACTGTGTTAATTCAGTGGTGCTGTACTAAACTATTGTTACTCAAAGTGAACTGATTGGAGTTTGTCCTCAAAGGGATTTTATTGTGAAAACTCACCAATTGCCCAAAATATAGCTTTTAATGCTAGCAGTTAGCTTAAACTGCTAACAGTGTGATAGTAATGCACTGGTTGATAAAATAAAATTTAAAACTTATCAGAACAGGGATTAAAATGTAAATAAGTTGACTTACAGGAGCTGGCACGTCTCATTTGGGCACAGTGAAGGATAAGTGTGGGCATTAAAAGCAAAGAGAGCATGTTATCAGGCAGTTGCCGGTGTATCCAACAGTTATTTAAAACAGTGAGTGAAGGTCATACAAGGACAAAAATGCCGATTTTAAATGAAAATAAACATATTTGGTAATGGCTACCATTCATTTTGTTGAAAAAAAAAAGAAGAATCAAAAATGTCGTAATCGTGAAGGGCTTGAGTGATTTCTTACATCCCTGCCCACATACAGTAGCCCATCAATACAGACCACTCCAAAAGAGGATCAGCATGTTATTGTGTGCTACCATCACATCTAAGCCTGACCTCTGGTCACAGGTACTGAACACTTCACATGTTCTGAAACATGACATCAGCTGGGGTTCACTGTCCCATTCGTTGGCTATAATTTGCACCAGAGGAAGAATTATTGCATTAAGAATGATGTAATAACTGATTGTGAACAGTATCCTTTCATGTTCAACAATAGTTATTCAACAATAACTGTCAATTCAGCATCACCTCTAACAGGTGCTTATTGGTCTCTTGGTGAAACTGACAACTTTAGCAGATTTGTTTGTCCCCTCAGCAGAACCATGCATACACAATGTCCTTCTGGTGATGCTGAGGGGACAAACAAATCTGCTAAAGTTGTCAGTTTCACCAAGAGACCAACAAGCACCTGTTAGAGGTAGGAGGTGGTGGTAGTTGTGGTAATGTGTAATATGTAGTGTGGTCATGTAAAAGATCCAAATCCTTTAACCAAATGTTTCTCTCTCCTTGCAATTGCAGTTTTACTTTGTCATTGGTTATTTGATTCACTCTCTGTTAATTAGCTCATATGTGGTTCAATAAAACTGGATTAAATGAGTGATCCCCCCCAACCCCCACAGTGTCTCAATACCTGCTATAGGCTCCTCTGGTTACCCAACACAGGACATGAGTACAGAGGATGGATGGATGGATGGATGGATGGATGGATGGATGGATGGATGGATGGATGG